GTTATATAAGCTTTGCAAAGCAGATGCATTTTACATGTTAAATATGGTTTGCACGTGTATTGTAATGTTCGAAAACTGGTTTAAATATAGTGAGTTTGGCATCCCTGTGGTTAATTCAATCATCATAGATAACATTCTTGTCCCCTCTAAACCCTTGTATCCATAGGTGAAATATTTAAGGTTATGATGTAACTTGCTATATCAATTTCAGTCTTTCATATGTAATCGAATAAATTAAAATGTTTCTTATATAATCAAAATCGCTGTAAATTAAAACTTGATCACTGATTAAATCGAATAAAATTTCTTTAAATAGTGCTTATTCTGGTTTGTGGTTGCACAGGTTGCAGAAAATCACTGACCATCCAAATATGATAACAGCCTTTTTTTTTTTTGTTTAAAAAAAACCTGTAACAGCCTTCTATTAACTGGTTTAAGTTTAATAATTCATTCAACATGATTGGATTGAGGAATCAAAATTTGTCAAAATTCATTTTCCGTTTCTCACCTACTATATGTTGATGATTCAACCATTTTCTTTGAACTCACAAGGAATGGGGTTGAAATCATTAAAGATGTCATTTGTAATTTTTGTTAAGTGGTCAGGGCTTTTTGTTAATGTGCAAAAATCTTCTTTGCTTCTTAGCCCTAATTGCTCAACTGAGCTTCAATAGGAATTTTCCAATCATCTAGGCATTCAACCCTCTAACTCTTTTGGGAAGTACTTAGGTACTTGGATTGATGCTAAAAGAGACAAATAATTGATTTTTGCTCAGATCATGGATTCCATTGAGAAGAGAATTGCCTCTTGGAAGCTCAAATTGCTCTCACAAGCTTCTAGGCTTATACTCATCAAGTCAGCGTTATCTGCTTTTAATATCTACACGATTTCTTGTGTTAAGCTTCCTCAGCATCTTTGTGACTCCATTGATGCTAAACTTACTGATTTTTTTTTTTTTTTGGGTTATAGTGACGGTAAAAGAAATATCCATCTTGCCAAGAAAGATAACCTTTTCTCTCCTATAAAAAAGATGGTGGACTTGGATTGAGGAATTCCAAAAATATGAATTTAGCTTTGTTGGCTAAGCAGATTTGGACAGTTTTAAATGGAGAGCAATATTCTCTTTTGGGCAACCCAATCAAAACCAAGTACTTTCATAATATTAATGGGCTTCTTTATAAAGTACCTCGTAATACCTCTTGGTTCTGGAAAGATATTTTCAAAGCATTTTCTTTGATTAAAAAGCACCTCACTTGGCAGGCAAGGAAAGGGTTGTTTATGTCACTCTCCCATGATACTTGATGGAAGTTCAATAATAGAGACCTCACTTTTGATTTAAATATTTCCAAGGTCTCTGATTTAATCATCACTAACCCATCCCCATTAATAGTTGCCAAATGGAATGTGTCACTAGTAAATAATCTCTACGGTAGAAGCTAACTTGATTTTAAGAACTCCCATTTCTTTTACTAAACAAAGTGATCGTTTAATTTGAGGCTCTGACTCTTATTATGTTAAAGATGAATTTTTTAGACTCTATCTTGGCCTTCAAGATAATCCTCTTGCAAAAGAGAAAATTTGGAATTTTCTTTGGAAACTTCATTTGCCATATAAAAATCTCCTCTTCATTTGAAATTTGGTTCAAGAGGTGATACCTACAGGGGATGTTTTATGCAAGCATCTTTTTAATTCTTCACTCTAGTAGTCCATTGTGCATTTGGTTGTGATTCATTAGAGACTTTACATCACACTTTTGTAATTGTCCCTACTCAAGAGCCATATGGTTTGGCTCACTGTCTATCTATTCCTCAGACATCTCAAACTAAGGTCTTGTTTCTTTGATTCTATAGATCTCTAAATATTTGTTCTTGAATCAGGAAATTTAGACTTTGGAATGCATTTTCCTTCTTCATTTGATTTGATATAATAGAAACCAAGCTTTTCATACAAGAAAGATAACTCTAGTCGCACAGGTTATTTGGCAGTTTAATGAACAATATTTCTTTCTAAAAGATCTCCACTTTTTTTTTTTTTTTGGGTGAACCTCACACCTTTTTTCATTTTCCAAGCTGGGAAATTCAACTTACTATCTTCAAGAGAAGAAAGAAAGCTTACTGTACTGTATCTTTATCTTGCAATCATGGGGGATTGATTGAATTGCTTCTCTATAGATTTGAAGCTATTTCTGCCCATCTCGTCTCAGCTTTCTATGTTTGCAGCCTCCCAATCTGGATTAAAAACTTCTCTTTGAACCATTTTGGAGATCTTGCGAGATTTGCTTCTGCTTTAATTGACAACATTTTGTGGACCCGGGTATTTCAAAGCTTCTACAGAACTATAACAGTTATACTATTAAAAAATGTAGTCCTAACATTTTGTCTTCTCCGACCTCTTCTAATGATTTCAAGAGGCGTATTTTAACAATTTCTTCGTAGAGTACATTTTACCATTGTTAATATATTGCCTTTTATATAAAAAAAATTCATTCAACATGAATCCTGACAATGGGAAAAAGAGAGATTGAACGTTAAATCAAAATTGAAGGTAATGACCCTTTAATAGGTGGCTAATATTGAAGACTGATTGAGTATTTTTGAATGAAAGACCATGGATTAAATTGTGCAGAGACATAAGGGTCAAGTCATATATAAAACCATAAGGTTTTTACAATAAGGAGAGGATTGTCAAGCATTGTAATATCAAAATTTTCGTAAGATGTCTGGTGAATTACAATATCAGCACGTCTATTTGAAAAAAATTGTGAAAACTAAAAATAAAACTCAATAAAATTATAGGAATTGATAATTATATTTTCCCTTACTAATTTTATTTGTTAATTTGATATAATCAATTGTAAATTGAGAGATTTGAATATTTATCTATTTGCTTACGTATATAAATTGACATTTAAATGTTATTAAAATAACACATTGATATAGGTACTAAACTTATAGTTTCCAAACAATTTGTTTGTTACAATATAAAATTGACTCATAAATTTTTAATGGCACATATTTTACTAACTTTACTTGTTAAAATAACATAATCAATTGAAAATTAGGAGGATTGAAAATTGGGTATTTTACATATTTACATTTATAAATTGACATTTACTTAGGGCTCATTTGAATAACTATTAAAAGCACATTCAAACTATATTTGGGATGTGTTTTTATCAAATTTAACAAATAATTGAATTCTCTAACTATGCTTTTGCAAGATATAAACTGAAAATTAACATCACACTTAATTTTCGATCCACTTATTTGTTTGACTGTAAAGTTGAGTTGTTGAATCGTTGACGGTGAATATTATTTTACTCAATTCTGAATGCGACAGTAAGTGTAAGATGACTCTGATTGAGAAGGAATAATAAGCCTCACTTCATTTGATGAGATTCTAAATCCTCCTAGCAAGAGAAAAACACGTGAAATGGGATCTTTCATTCTCCAATTTGGTATTGTATCAGGTTGTCTTTTGCTCTGTTTGATTGAAAAGAAAATATAAGAGAAAAGAAAATATAGAGAAAAAACAGGAAAGAAAATAAAATTTCCCTCATTTGAATAGGAAAGAAAAAAATTAAAAAAAAAACTGTAGGTCCTACATCTTATTTTCTTCTCACTTTTTTTTTAATTTTTTTCTTTAAAAGTAAAGATATTTTGAAAGTAAAACTTTTTTTTTATTGTCTAACTTTTCTCTCTCTTATTTATTTCGCGCGACTTTCAAGAGACTATTTAATTATATTAATTTAATTTTAATTAAACAGTTTGATTTATAATTTTTAACTTTTATAATTATAAATTACATTAGTTTAACTATTTAATTAAATAATTTAGTCATTGACTAGATCAAATGTCCAGAATTACATTAATTTAATTTTAATTATTTGATTTTAAAATATAATATAAAAATACATTTTTAACAAATAATTTAATTTTAAATTAATTTGATTATGTTAATTTTAATATAATTTTTACTTTTAATTTATTTTTAAAAATATAATTACATAGAACATGATATATTTTGATATAAAAATATTATAATTATTATGATATTGGTTCATTTTTTTTTTATGTTTTTTTATCCAAACAAAAAAATAATAATAATATTTTCTTTTTATTTTTTTCCTCTCTCAATTTTCTTTTCTCTCATCCTCTTTCCTCTTAACTTTTCTCCCTATTCAAACGCAGGATTCAGGTCATCCTTGATCGATTCACAACATTCGCCCAAAGAGAACTCGGCATAGTTTTAGGCGTTGATGATGAGCTTAAGAAGCCAGAAAGGACAGTATTGAAGGTTCAGGCTTTTATCGATTCTCTTAGCAACCAGCTTCAGTGGCCTTCTACTCCTCTGGCGTTAAAGCTCTGGCTTCGGCACCTCCAAGGCGTGCTTCACGATGCTGACGACCTGTTACATGAGATTGCCTTGGAAATTTCAAAATTTACTTCTAATAAACCAACCGACACAGAACAGGTACGAACATTGACTCTCTCCAGATTTCATTTTAGCCTTCCTTCTCAAGTAGTGAATATGCAACGTAAACTAGAAGACCTAGTGAAAGAGATGGATGGAATGTTTGCTAGTGAGATATTGCTGAAGGCTACGCAAACTATTGAATGTAATTGGAAACTGCACAGTTCTAGTTCATTAGTGGATGAGTCATATGTGGTAGGAAGGGAATATGATAATATTGAAGTTGTGAATATGTTATTGTCGAACGGAACGGACAGAGAACAACTTCTGTAATTGCAATTGTGGGCAATGCAGGGGTCGGCAAAACAACACTTGCAAAGCTTGTTTATAATGATGAGATTGTCAGGCAGGCACTCGACTTGCTAATTTGGGTGACCATTTCTGTGGAGCATAGTGTAGAGAGAATCTCAAAATCAATTTTTGAGAGTGCTACTGGGAAGATGTTGAAATATCATATCTGAATCATATTCAAATAGAATTAGAGAAATTGTTGGCGAGAAGGAAGGTGTTGATTGTTCTAGATGACATGTGGAATGAAAATACAAGTCATTGGGATGTCTTGCGATTACCATTTAGAGTTACAGCAAAAGGAAGTAAAATCTTGGTGACTACACAAAGCATGAGAGTGGCCAACATTGTTGCTACTACTCCACCTTATCATGTACACACTTTATTGCATGAAGATTGTTGGGCTTTGATTAAGAAAAGAGCCTTCCCAAGCATTGAGATGGATGAGTGCAACGATTTGGCGGAAATTGGCATAAAGATAGCAGAAAAGTGCCAACGGTTACCATTAGCTGCAAGAATCATTGGGAGTGTTTTGCATTGTAAATCGGATAGAAATGAATGGGAGGCAATATTAAATAGTAAATTTTTTGGGGTCACCTGAAATTGGGAATGAACTTCTTCCAGCATTAATGCTAGGTTATCATCTTTTGCCTCATTGTTTGAAACGTTGCTTTACTTATTGCTCAATATTTCCTCAAAATTTTTAGTTTATACAAGATGATTTAGATCAACTATGGGTGGCAGAAGGGTTCATCCAACCCCAACCAAGGAGAAGAATTGAAGATATTGGTAGAGACTACTTTGACATTCTGTTGCAAAGGTCATTTCTCCAATTTCCACACCATGACCATAACAATCAACTAGTGTATAAAATGCACACCCGCATTCATGAGCTTGCTCCATTTGTTTCTGGGGAATTATGCTTTAGAATGGATGATAATATTGACACGTCACATCTATGGCCTAATTTCACAAATGCTAGACACTTATCTTTTGTTTCTGATGGCAATAACCGGCAGTCTTTGGAGTTGTTTTGTAAGTGCAATCGCCTAAGAACATTGCTGTTTTTTTCATCAGAAAGTCAACGCCATGTTAATGATATCTCTTATGAACTCTTTCTTAGTCTTCATCATATCAGAGTGTTGAATTTGAACTACACCAATATCAGTGAACTTCCTGATTCTATTGGTGCTTTGAAACACCTCCATTACCTTGATGTTTCAAACACAAATATTGAAAAGTTGCTAGAGTCGGTGACAAACCTACATGGGTTGGAAACACTTAAGCTGAAAAATTGTTTCAACTTTCTTCAACTTCCCATTCACATGAAGAATCTAATAAACTTGCGACACCCTGAATTGGATGTAAAGCGTCAAATAACATTTATGCCATCAAACCTTGGAAACTTGAGAAATCTTCAAACACTATCTGCCTTTATTGTGGGCAAGGAGAAGGGGCAAGGGATCGAGGAGCTGAAAAATATGAATTTCCTGCATGGATCTTTGTGCATCGCTAACCTTGAAAATGTGTCAAGTGTCAAAGAAGCTGTCATGGCCAGTTAGACAAAAAGCAATACATAGACAAATTAGAATTGCAATGGAATGAGTTTAAAGTTGACTCAGCTGAGCAAGTTTTAGCAGGACTTAGACCCCACTCTATGATCAAAGAGCTAACTATATCAGGTTATGGTGGCTTTATGTTTCCAAGTTGGTTGGGCGATCCATCATTTAAAAAGCTTGAGAGTATTTATTTGCAAAAATGTCACCATTGTCAGCACCTTCCTCAACTTGAAGGGCTTCCATCTTTGAGGTCTTTGTTCATTAATGAGATTCATAATTTGCTATCACACCACATTTTTCGTGGTTTTCTACCTTTGCAATCACTTAGATTGCAAGACATGCAAAATCTGCAGCAAATTGATTGGGACGTAGGTGCCATGCCTAAGCTACGCCAACTTATGATAGTAGATTGTCAAAATCTACGCTCTCTCCCTCAACTTCATCATCTTTCTTGCCTTGAAAATTTAGAGATTATGCATTGTCCTCAGCTCCAATCATTGCCAAATGGCGGAGTGCCAAGTTCATCGAAATCTCTTATCATTGTACAATGTGACATTCTAAGAGAACAATGCAGACAAAATTATGACCAAATTAGGGGAATAAAAAGGGTTGAGATTGATTATGAGCCCGTCAGAATGGCAGTGGCATAATTTCTTGATTGGATTTTCATGAACAAAACAATTTCTCTTTGGCCTTAACAGTCTTGATGACAAGATTTCTGTTGAAGTTTGAAGGAAGAGGTGAGCTTTCCTGAATAGAATACATTACCATGACTTGTTTCTCCATTCATAACTACATGAATATTCTGTATATCCTATTTACTGTTTTCTTAAGCATTTTTCTTTTTTTTATTCCAAATAGATCAATTCGACTCCACCTAGAGGGATAAGGCTTGTTGTTGTTATTGTATTCAAAATAGATCAATAGACTGTAATTGAATACTGTTATCATGTTGAAAATATGTCCTCCAGTTCAATAACACGTGCTTGAACATGCTTCCTAGGACATCTTCATTATTGTTCTGTGTCAAGTTCTCTTGAAAGGTTAGGAATGATTGTTGAATGGGGCCAAATCTGTTGCTGAACTTTAAAACTACTGTTAAGTTTTCATGTAAGAATGGCCATCACAAATATAAGAATGTCAGCATTCTTTGCTCTGTTTTGGAGCTTTAAGTATGTTTCTCTACATGCTTAGGTAGACTGCTATTCTGTTCTTTTAGATTAGCAAATAAACGTTTTCACTCTTATTTTTCTTGTTTCTCCTTGTATTTCTTTGTCTATTTAGTTTGTGCTGTGTTCTTAGCGTAGTTTATCCTTGTAATTAAGAGTTAAACTTTGATTTAAGATAGTTATGAACTGTAACATACAGTATGTTACAGTGATCCTATTTACTTGCAATCAATAACATGATTCAAGAGTTTCATGGTGGAACTTTGAAGCACGCAACGATTTCTATTTTCTCTTTACATTATTTATATGACAGAAAAAGATGACAATTCAAGTACAATTTGCTGGTACATGGGCTTGTCCCACTCTGAAATATTCATCGTGTCCCATCCCATTGTCATCCCTGATAGCAGATGCATGTAAGAATCTGCAGAGGAAGGTAAACCAAAGATTATTAATCCCTTGTAGTTCCTAGTAGCAATATGATAAGTCATATAGAACTAGAATATATAGCTGCATGGATGCTTTGTATTTCCTATTGGAATTTTCCTTGTTGATTCCAAGTTGCCCAATATGCTGTGATTGCAGGCATGCATAAGCGTGCTTGTGAGTTTTTTTTTTTTTTTTTGGGGGGGGGGATAAGTGTGTGTGTGTCAACGGAAATTTGCAACAAATTTCAAGAAAAATCCTTTGTAAATTGATCTTGCAATGGATTTTTCCATAGCAAATAAGGGTGTCACATTTTTTTAAATGCATTTCATGATATGTTGCAAAATTTGTTAGACAAAAAGTCCTTCACAAATTTCCTCATTTTGATATGACTATTTGAGTGGGGTTGATTTAAGTATTATCGAGCTCAATTAGAGATAATTCTTCTAAAGATGTTTCCTAAATCCACATGGACTCAAACATGAGACCTCATGTTTAAGTAATTATAGCTCCTTTCACTAAGATCAATTTAAGTCCGACTAATGGATACTCTTGCATGTCATGCTTTCAACAATTTGTCCTCGTTCCTATCTCTAATTGTAGATAACTATGAGTAGTTGAAGAGGATTGAAGAGGTGAACCAAAGATTAACAATCTTCTATAGTTTTTAGCAGGGTTGTGCATTATACCTGAATGCCTAGTTAGCTCAGTCTCACTCAAGGCATTCAAGCACACTCGGCCAAGCTTCAGGCTTGGCATTGGGTTGGGGTCAAATCTTGCCCTACCTGAACATGTGCTGTTTTTTTTTTAATTTTTTTTGTGAATAATGTAATACATAAAAAATTGAGTAAAATAACACTATAAAATAATTAATTTTTTAAAAATTTTAAAAAAATAAAATAGGGGAAATGTGAATGCTCAATTGAAAAATAAAATAGGGGAAATAAAAGATTATAGTCCTTACTTATAATTAAAAAAATGTGAATGCTCAATTGAAAAATCTAAACTAAATTTGGGACTATTTGTAATATCACTTGAAAATTTACGAAAGTTAGTTGAGAATATTAATTTTACTGTTAATATGCAAATAAACCATTTGAAATTATTTATAACGTTAGTTGAAAATTTATAAGAATCATTTATGAATTGCAAGTTAATTATTTATGATTTTTTACTTTCAATATATAAATAAGTCACATGAAAAATTTACTAAGTAAATTTGGGATTGTTTATAATGTCAGTTAAAAATTTACAAAAATTAATTATGAATTGTAAGTCAATCACTTATAATTTTTTTGCTATCATTTGAGAAATCAACAAAAGATAGTTGAAAATATTTGTAGTGTTAATTATAAGTTTACTAAAGTGCATTATAAATCCTAAGTCAATCAATAAAAGATAATTTATTGTAAATAAATATTATAATTTGTTATTGAGATTTTAATGATTTAGAATCTGTAATTGTCATTAATGTTTTTATAGAGTTCCTAATTATCATTTTTCTAATAAAATATACACATGTTGGCTCAGGAAGATCTAGGCTAATTAGGACCCGGCCACATGCACAGACCTGATAAATCTATATCTATGCTAGATTATTCTCCTCAATTGTGGGCACTTCTCTAAATAAAATGCTATGTATAAATTGGTTAAAATAATATTTTAAATAGGTGATGAAAAGCTTGATGAATTAAGAATTTAATATAACAGGAAATAAAATTAGTTATTATAATTTATATTTATTTTACTTTTAAACTTTATTAACTCGAATAGTTTATTAATTTTAATATTTTGTAAAACATTTATTTGAATATAGTTATAATTAATTATTTAAAATTATTTAAATATGGGAGAAGATAATTGGATCATGACGAAAACTTAAATCAATAATTTGGAATTTTTTTGACATAATTTCAATTAATAATTAATGAAATTAAGTATCTTATAATATTTAATAGAAAATTTTAAAAGGTGTTAAAAATTGAATTAAAATATAAATTCTAAAAATAAATAGGAGGCCTCTTACTTTTAGTATAATTATACTGAGATAATTAAATTTTACTCTAATATGTTTATATAATATTTATAAGTTATAGATATGATAAGAAAAAATGACAATAAAATCTCTCCAAATTATATAAATTATAAATTGATCTTTTAAAATGTCATAATTTCAATGAAGTTTCTAGGGATCTTTGCATCAATAAATTTTAAAGTAAAAAGATTATTTTACCCTTACTAAAAATAATAAGTTTCAATAATAACTTTTATTTAAAGAATCACAATTTTTGTACTGTAAATCACAAGAATTAAATAAGAAATTATAACTTGTCAAGTTTAATTTCTGTTATTGAAAAAAAAAAGCCTTAATAATAACTTTTACTTAACCAAAAGTTCTGGAAAAAAAATATAATGGCTTTTCAAAAGGTGAAAAAAAATTTAAATCTTGCATGGTAGAATTGTATTATTTAAAAGCTCTTTCATTTCTTTTTGAAATATATAAATGGACAAGAACAATAATTTTCATTTCTATTTCTCTCCTATTATTGTCGTCTCACTCCATTCTTTTACTTATTAAATATTTATTATACAAACTTGATAAAAGTAACTAATTTATATATATTGGAAAACAAAACTCTAACTAATAATTATTTGTGCATACCAAATGCAGAGATGAATTCTCGATTTTGGCGAACGTACATCATCATGTTAGTATAGATACAATGTAATCCATGCGTATTTATAGTCTTTTATGATTGGGGGACAATCTAAAAGTCTTTTATGCAAATATGAATGAAAGTGAATCATAAAACACTAGCCTGTTCTGTTTGTCCTCTCTAAAACCTTTCTTTTATTCTTTTCCTATATTTCCATTAGTTTTATAATTTGTTGTTATTTAACTACTTTTTTCCCTTCATTACTTTACCACTAAAATATTTTTTAACAATGTTTTCCTTCCTTAAATATAGGTATTTTAATGAAAGATTTAAAATTTTTGCCAAACTTTGAAACCTATTTTTCGTAAATAAATCTTGTTAATTATGTTATTCCGTAACTACTCATAAATCTTTGGTATCCACTAACACTCGTCATATATATATGAAGAAAGAATAGATATGTTGTATATTTGAAAAATAAATTAGTTTCTCTTTTGTGATTAAAAATCATCCTCAAAAGTGGCACGCTTAACCCTAAACTGACATTCACATACAAAGGTCCATGTATACATACATTTCTTCTAGGAGGTTATTCACACATCATTGGTCAAATAATTCACTAAATAGAAGAGGTTATTAAACAAATTGACTTATTTGTAAAGGTTTGAGTCTCCAAAGACCTAGCCGTAAATTATTTCAGATACATATCATTCTTCTACTATAGATATTTTGGTCACAAGAGATTTTTTTA